TGAAGATGTTCGTGCATTTCGGATATTGTTGCCACTTATCCTTGGTAGCTTAGATTTTGCTAATCTGTTATGTAAATTTCAAATAGATCTTGTAATTATTTGTACTAGCTTTGTAAATTCAAAGTCTTAAAAGCTCATGGTTCGTACTACCAGTCCTTGGGTCAATTTGTAAATGTCCAGATAATTCTTCTCTATTTTTCATATAATCTCATTTGGATTCTATTTTCTGTTAGTTGGCTTACCTAGCGGGTTGAGTTAGATGCCATCACGATTGGTGGTTTTCAGGTCGCGACAACTAAAAATACTCAAAAAGGAGAATGATTAAAAGTTTAGTACAATCTCAAAAAGGTTATCTTAAAATTTTTTAATAAACAGTAAAAATAGTTTTAAAAAAATAAATAAAACTGGTTTCTTAAAATGAACAAGTATCCGATCTAGTTAAGTTAAATGGTAATAAAATCCAAGAAAAAGAACTTTGCATATTAAAAGAAAAGCTTCAAATCTAAAATGTAAATTTCATACCACACACATTATATATGTAAAGGCTTATTGTATACGGCCAAAATTGGGGAGTTCGATTTTGAGGCTACTATGCCTCCCCACGCCTAACCTCGAAGAAGCCCAAAGCATAGCGTGGGGTGCGACCCCGAGGTGTGTCCCCCGAGGGAGCATATCAAAGGCTCACTGTGGTCGACCTCGGAGCAGTACAATCAATGATAGTTATAGAAAGGCGGGAAAATTTCCAAATACACGTGGTTAGAACTGACCAAGTCTGCAAGAATAATACAAATCCGTACTAAGTCATTATACAGTTGTACCAATAGCATTTCCTTGTTATTATTAGGCATGTACTATGTTGGGATTCCCCTTCCTATTAAAGGGGACCCTTGTCATCTTGTAAGAGGATTCAGATTATTACACAACATAGTGAATAGAATACAACATTCTCTGCTCTTTGCTAACATTATTGTTCTTCACATTTATTGCTTATTCTTTCATTGTTCATTTATTGTTCTTCATTTGTTGCTCATTATTAACCGCATAAGGCCATCTTTGAGGCCCTCATCGTCATTAATTCTTCATCAATTGGTCATTGCTATTAACCCCATCTTGACCTCGAGGCTCTGCTCCAGCCAGTTCGAGGCCCAACCTTGTGACCCTATTGGTTTGCATTTCTTATTTTCTTTGCTTACTCTTAGCATCTATTTCCTAACAACTAGTATTAAGATAAATCGCGTACTTTTAGAACCACAAAAACAAATATAATTGTAGTTACCATTTTCAAGGTAAATAGTTTGGCACCCACCGTGGGGCTAAAAATAATAGTTATTTTGGTGCTAGTTTTCTGATAACACACGTTACTCTTCACACTTTTTATTGTCAAAGATTCTTTGATTTCAGGCTCAATCATGTCTAGCACACAAAATGTACCTCTTCACGATAGTGAAGAACTTGGAGAAAACAACGGCATAGGGCTGGGTGTACCACCCGTAAACCCTGAGGGAGTACCAAATGTGGAGCTAGTTGATATCAACTCCCACAACGTTCTAAACATGGAAGCAGGCGCATACCCCGTAACTTGGAGAAGGCCTGGTCATACAACATCGTGAAATATAGCACGAAGGAAAGAAGTTAGGAGAACAAAGATCAAAACTCAAGGCGCAAAGGTTATGTCAAAATCACCTATTTTTGGAGTTTCGCAGCCTCCTCGAGAGCGAGTGGGGCATCGAGATCATCATCCTCTTCAACGTCGGAAAGAAATCTCCAAACATCTCATCCTCCCCCCGGAATGCCCCTACATCAGTGTTCTCCCTGTTCTGGGCATCCCGTATTTGCCTTGGGGAAAATGACGGGCCTGATTGAAGACCGCCCATGACATCAACCTCTATCGAGGCTTCTTCTTGCCCTTGAAGGGCCTCAGAGTCGGATCCTCCAAATGCGCTGAACAAGTGTTCATCAGCACAAGTTGAATCTTCTTCCGTAATCGCCTCGGGAACTGCACACAAACCCTCCTCGAAGGGTTCCTCATTACAAGGTGGGACCGCATCGGCCACCTCTGACTCGGCAGTCTTCTGCACGGCAACCGTCGAAGCATCAGTGCTTTGTCTTGCCCTATGTATCAATGGGCATCCGTCATCGTCTTCAACACGAAGACTCTCAACCGCTGCCGAAGATAGGACCGTTGCATCGGTCCTATTTCGAGCCTTGGCTCTTTTTGGTTTTGGGGACTCCGCCAGCGTCTCCTCCTTTCTCTTTCTATCTTTGGCAGGCCTTTGAGTCTCCTCGTCGCCAAGAGGAGGCGGTCTCATTGAAACGGCTTCCCCGAGGCCTACACAGGCATAAAATGTCAAACACACCGCTATGAAATCCATTCATAAGGGATTTAGAAGTGATAATAGCGATGGCGTACCATGATATTTGGCCTCCCATCGAGTTTTGGCCAGATCATGCCAAATGCGCTTATCATATGGAGAGGTGGAGTCTAAAAGTCTAACCCAGCCCGGGAGGTCGTTGACCGTGCCAGAGAACTACATGGTGGCTAAGCAATCAGAGAGAAATCAATTCAAATAACAAAGGAGTTAGTTTGAAAGAGGAAAAGAGGACATTCAGATGATAAAAGATTCTCGGTGTAACGACACTTACGCCTTATATTCCATTCTTCGGGGAATGGCATCTTCTCGGCAGGGATGAGGTCCGAAGTTCTGACTCGAACAAAGCAGTTCATCCATCCCCGATCCTTATCTTAATCGGTATAGGCAAAAAATGCTTTGGCAGACCGATGCCGCAGTTTGACTAGGCCCCCTCGATAGAGGCGAGGGCTATACAATCTAATCAGGTGATCGAGGGTGAAAGACATCCCCTCGACCATGTTCGAGAAATGTCTAAGCAAATCGACGATTCTCCAAAAAGAAGGATAAATCTGACTGAGCGTCACTCGATATTCTTGACAAAAATCGAGGATCACCGGGTCTATCGATGGAGAAGAAGAGCTCACATGACCCAAAGTAAAGGGATACATATACACGCTGAGGAAACCAAGTTTATGCGTAGTTATATCCTCTTCCACAGAAGGGACCTCTACTTGTACCGCTTTTCCCCAGCGGAAATCTATTTTCACCGTCTTTATATACGTTATTAGACTAACATACCGAGACATGGGTTCGCATCATCCCGGTACCGAAGAAGGTTTATCAATCTTAAAGTCGGAGGCTGTATCGAAGGTCCCAGGAACACACTCCTCAACGCTGGGGGGCACTACCTTTTTGCTCTTAGACGAGCGTGACGAAGAAGGGGCTTCCCCTTTTGGAGGTACTATTTTAGAAGTTTTTGCCATAGTTGTAACAAAAGTTTCAAAGCAAGTTGACAAAGAATTGAACACGGAAGAAGGGTGAAGGCAGGAAACTGTTAACGAGGATTTGAAGATTTGAAGATGTTGCAAAGGTTTGAAAGATAGAGAATTGAAGTATTTATAAGTCACTGGGAGGAGTTGAAAGGGCGACCAATAGCGGTTCGTGGGCTTTTCAAGAACCGTGTTTAATAAGACCCATGTATAACTTTTTTGCCACGCTATTTAATGATCTCACGTGGCTGACGTCATAATGGGGGAATCGAAGAGGCAAGAACTAAGATTGTTTCTTATCATTTCATCCTAAGAAACGCGGGGACTATCTGTATACGGCCAAAATTGGTGAGTTTGATCTTGGGGCTACTATGCCTCCCCACACCTAACCTCGAAGAAGCCCAAAGCAGAGCGTGAGGTGCGGCCCCGAGGTGTGTCCCCCGAGGGAGCATATCGAAGGCTCACTATGGTCGACCTCGGAGCAGTACAATCGATGATCGTTATGGAAAGACGAGAAAATTCTCAAATACACATGGTTAGAGCTGACCAGGTCTACAAGAATAGTACAAATCCGTACTAAGTCATTATACAATTATACCAATAGCATTTCCTCGTTATTATTAGACATGTACTATGTTGGGATTTCCCCTCTTATATAAAGGGGACCCTTGTCATCTTGTAAGAGGATTCGGATTATTACAAAACATAGTGAATACAATACAACATTCTCTGCTCTTTGCTAACACTGTTGTTCTTCACATTTATTGCTTATTCTTTCATTGTTCATTCATTGTTCATTTATTGTTCTTCATTTGTTGCTCATTATTAACCGCAAAAGGCCATCTTTGAGGCCCTCGCCGTCATTAATTCTTCATCAATTGTTCATTGCTATTAACCCCATCTAAACCTCGAGGCTCTGCTCTAGCCAGCTCGAGGCCCAGCCTTGTGACCCTATTGGTTTGCATTTTTTATTTTCTTTGCTTACACTTAGCATCTATTGCCTAACAACTAGTATTATGATAAATCGCGTATTTTTAGAACCACAAAATTAAATATAATTGTAGTTACCATTTTCAAGGTAAACACTTATGATAAAGTTTGAGGCCACAAATATTATTGAGTCGTTCATGTTATTCCAATAAATCGCAAAATATAATATCAACTTATACAAATGCTCAAAACATGAATTGAGACACGATACTCAAAACAATGGGCTGAGTTATCACAATTTGTCATGAACAGGACTTTCTTTTACATTTAAAATACTATAGAGTTAAGTATTCACGCAGAAAAGTCGAACTCGTTGTATTTGTGACAGTATCTGTATTAGGGGGCTCCCCCTTATTTCCTCTCTCTTGTATTTCTTGTATGTATTTTGAAGGTTTAGGTTTATGTACTCCCCCTCTAATGTGATTTTTGTTCAATAGCATACCAGGTAGAGATTGAGGCCAAACACCCCGCGGTTAGTTTAAAAAAAGAGATTTTTTTTTTATTGTTCTTCTCATAGAGACAAGATTAATCAATAAAAAAAGGTCAAATTAAAGAGAACACTAATAAGAAGGCGCCTCGTCCGTTGGAAATCGCCTAAATATGCAGCAAACTTCTTGTTTGATTTTCGCCCTAAAACTGGGAAAATAATAATTTTGAAATGCTCAAGCAATGAGAGATTTTAGAAGTGCCATTTGTAATTATATCCAAATCCAGTTGAAGAGAGTATATAGTTAACTATGCAAAACAAAATATGCATTTGTGGGTAACGTATATATTATCTACTTAGTCTGCAGGAACATTATATAACCAGCATTCTGAAGTGGGCAGAGGTCCAACATGTCAAGATGTACAAGCAGGTCTTCGAGGAGGTAGTTGTTGATGAGCTGTTCTCTGTTACATTTCAAATTACATTCATTAGATTTCTCACTTTTAAATGAAGTTGAAATTTGAAAAAGTTAAATACATAAAAGCACATAATTCAAATAGTTTGTGTAGAAGTTAGAATTACTTGCAACTTGGGACGCAATGTCTCAATAACAACTGCTGATTTCTTATCAACTCCTGCACCTTGCTGTATCCATATAAAAAGCACCAGCATAACAAATCAGAAGAAATCAATAAGCATTTCACAATTTTATACGTGTAGGATAAAAGGTTGCAGTTTAACCCTGAACCCAGTACTTTTGACATAAAGCATAAAAAATTATTAAAATTACAATAAATAATAAATATGAACCCATAATTTTTAAAAATATAATGGGTTCAATGGTAAGAACGTTAAAGATTGAACTCATATAGTTTAAATCATGAAGCCGCCTCTGAGCTTAACCATTAAATTACTTCACAATTTTCCTTTTCCGTGTGTTTGGTTCTAAAAATATTTTTCAATTACCTAATGTCTAATTCGCTTAAATATTTTTAAAATATATTTTCCTTATAAACTTATTTTTTTCTGATTTCGGAAAATAACTTCCCTATTAAAATAAGAAAATATTTTTTGAAACTCTCTTTTAACACACCCAGCCTCATCCCTAGTCCCCAGCCTATCCCCCNGACCTCCCGCGAACTCGATTGCCTGAACCAAACCTCCCCCTTAGCCGCCCCCACCCACCTCGTTCCACATATTGTTTACTTAGATTATATATTCTTGGGATAATATTTTCTGTTTATTAATCAAATACGAGAAAATAAATAAAATACCACTTATCTTTTCAGAAAAATATTTTCCTTTCGTGTCAAACACACTATTCATCCTTATTTAATTCTAAAGATTTTCATAAGGAAAAAAGAGACAAAAGGAATTGAATTGAAATTTTACCGGATTGGACCTATTATCAAACCCAAGTAGCACTTAGTTATGGAGTGAGAATTTCGGACAAACCCAACTTTAAATTCAGGAGTCATTTCTCTTAGAACCATAATTCTTGCATATCATAGGGACACCCCTAGATTTTTTCTTAGTCATAGAAATTCCCCCATCTAAAATTTATTGTTGCTCTAACTTAACCAAGTCTTAATTAACATCTCAATAGCCAGAGAGAATATTCATTTTAATTGTGTGTTTTTCATATCTTATGAAAAAAGTCTTTTTTTCATGAGTAGAACCAAGGTAGAGCAAAAATAACAACAAATGAAGAGATTTTGTAATTTAATGTCCAACAATAAGCTAAAAGGAAATTTAAGTTTCATATAATTCAAGTATTTAATAGGGTTTAAATTAATAAGTACCTTGCATAGAGCCCAATCTGCGGAATCAAAGAAGGCACGTTCATGGTCCTGCATCCACAACATTACAAGTGGTTGTCAATTTTTAGTCAAAAAGCTTTTTATTTAAAACTTTTTGGAGAAAAAAGAAAGTATAAAACTTGCCTTTGAAATCAAAGGCTTCTTCTTTGGCACAAGTCCTCCATATTTTTTACCAGTGGCAGTGGTCTACAAAATTTAGCATCAGTACCAATTATACAAAAGAGACGTTGAATCAAAAAACAACTCATAAAATTACAAATGATAGTGTAAACTGTAAAGCATGGAACATGGGCTAAAGATCGCAAATCCAGCTGCAAAATGAGGACTACTTCATACACATTTTCTATTTGTTTTTTTCAAGGGAAAATGAGGAAGGAGATTACAACATGGGAAATCAATCTCTTACAAAAAAAACAAGGTGAAATTTAGGTAGACAATCAACTGGACTACTAAGATATTCTGCATTTTCTAGCTCTAGTTACCAGTAGACGACCAAATAATTGGTCATTAAGTTCATACTATAGAAAACATGTCCAACTTGTTTTTAACCCTAATGTTCGTAGTACATAAAGTAGGGAAAATGAAAACGATTTTCAGTGAAAAGAAGCTTCTGATTATTCCAAACTAAGTCAATTTTCAATTTAAGAATCTTTTATAAAACTTAAGACGTGACTAGCACATCCCCTAGTTAGATGTTTCATTCAATGTTTAATTTGCTTGATTTTCAGCCCCTTAAAGAATCGAATTTGTTTCTAATTCTCCTTTTTCTTTTTCATTTATATTCCTATAATTAACCTGAATTTCGGTTATTAATCTCATTAAAAAGTGATAAACTCGCAAGTTTAAGAATGACAATAGGGTGGGTGAAGGTCCGCAGACGGTCAGTCAACTAATGAAGAATATAAACAAATCCGATTCCTGTCACGCTAAATCTCTTCTCCACCCTACTATTGCCGCACTTACACTAGCCCATTATTGCTTATCCACACCTAAGGCACAAATGACTCGCCCAAGGTTGGGCTAGTCATTGACCCGCCCATTTATTATTTTTAGCCCATTTAAAGTTGAACTGATTTTTAGTCCAAATTGATCCATGAGTAATTTTACCAAAATATCTTAAAAATAAATTTATTTATTGTTTGATATGTTTATATGACCATAGAAAAAGAAAAAAGTCTTATTTGCAATTATACAATTCATAAAAAAATAAAACATATTAAGTAAAGATTGATAAGAGTTGGGGGATTGGGTTATGACCCAAATTTTAGCCTATCTTGACCTAACTCATATTAGCCCAAGCCATTTTTGGACAGATTATTTGACCCGCCCAACTATTAACTCAACCCATTTTTACCCGATCAAAATCAATTCAAGCCCACCCATTTGACACCTCTATCCACACCATATCTTAGCGCCGACACATTTTAACCATAACGTGCCAATTTATTGAATTTTAAGGCTTTAAGCTATGGGTCGCAATGTTTACGGAGTAAAATCTTAATAGCAAAACCGATTTAGGGACCACTCTTTTTGCAGGCTGCACGTGATTGCTTTGCCCTTCAACCCCACAAGTACTACTACTGCTACAACAACAATGATATACCCTGTATTATCCTACACTGTAGAGTCTGGAGAAGATATTATGTACGCAGACCGAGGGTTTATTCGAAACAACTTCTCTATTCCAATAGACCTTCGGCTCAAAAAAGCATAGACACCACATTAATAAAAATATAGACAAGAAGGGACATCATACTCAACCCACAAAATCTAAATAATATTCCGCGTTCATTTTTGCTATATTTTTCTAATAAAATGTCTCAATTTATTATTTGGGCCACATTTATAGTATTACAAAGAAGATCGTATATATGGAGCCAAGAATCGAATATGACTACTAATGCAGTTACAAGATAATGTGACTTGTGGCCACTCCTAATCTATCAACATATGAACCTTCTTTGTCTTATTTAATTCTTTTCTAATTATGTTTGGTACTTGCAAGATGATTTAATAATTATCACACGAAAGAAAAATAATTTTTCTTTTAAGTGGAAGACAATAAAAAATAAATTGCACAACAAGGTTAAATTTTTTTTTTTTTCTTTTTCTTTTTTCCTAGCAGAGGGCGGCTACCCAACTTAGACGATTCACATGGTAAGTGCCTTAGTGGTGGTTATAGCGATAACTGTCGATTAAGGGAGTTAGGTCCAATAACACATGCTTCATCTATACTCTTTTCATACTTTAAGGGTGTGTTTGGTAAGAAGAAAAATGTTTTCCATGCCCATTCAAATACGTTCATATAAATTGGAAGTTGGAACGGAGGCAGTAGCCTTAATTGCCTTAATACAAATTTAATTGCCACCGGCACTAAGCATTTTTGTACTTGCAAAATTTTCTTTGACGAGAGAGTAGATATTGTGGTTGCACCTATACAACTTTTAATTGGGAGAAATTCAAAGATAGCCAAATTTACAAGTGGCCGTTCAAATATAGCTCAGTTTCAAAAGCAATCAAAATTTAGCCACTTTTCATGTAAAGATAAATCTAAGTGAAAATACTGTTCAAAACCCAAAAAATACGTCGGTATATTATACTGGAGTACTTGAACTCCAACATATTATACTGGAGTTCCAGCAAGTATATTGGTCCAGCATAATATACTGGAGTTTAGAGCACCGGTGCTCCAATCTCCAGTATATTATACTGGAGCCAGCAAAGTATACGAGTTCAGCATAATATGCTGGAGTTCATACACAGGTGCACCGAACTCCAGTATATTATGCTGGACCGGTCTCTGTTGCAGCAAAATAGTGGCTATTTTTCATTGACTTGGTAAATGCTGGTTATTTTTGAATAACCAGTCCGAAAACTAGCTATACCGTGCTATTTTTGCCTCTTAACTGCCACGGCCCACCGGCACTAAATATCTTGGGAGAAATTCAAAAATAGCCAAATTTACAAGTGGTCATTCAAAAATAGCCACAGTTTCAAAAGTAATCGAAATTTAGCAATATATTGGAACTCCAATCTAATATATTGGATATAATATACTGGAGTTTGGAGCACCGGTGTTCCACTCTCCAGTATATTATACTAGAGCCAGCAAAGTATACCGGTCCTGCATAATATGTTGAAAGTTCATACACAGGTGCATCGAACCCCAGTATATTATGCTGGACCGGTCTCTGTTGCAGCAAAATAGTGGCTATTTTTCATTGACTTGGTAAATGCTGGTTATTTTTGAATAACCAGTCCGAAAACTAGCTATACCGTGCTATTTTTGCCTCTTAACTGCCACGGCCCACCGGCACTAAATATCTTGGGAGAAATTCAAAAATAGCCAAATTTACAAGTGGTCATTCAAAAATAGCCACAGTTTCAAAAGTAATCGAAATTTAGCAATATATTGGAACTCCAATCTAATATATTGGATATAATATACTGGAGTTTGGAGCACCGGTGTTCCACTCTCCAGTATATTATACTAGAGCCAGCAAAGTATACCGGTCCTGCATAATATGTTGAAAGTTCATACACAGGTGCATCGAACCCCAGTATATTATGCTGGACCGGTCTCTGTTGCAGCAAAATAGTGACTATTTTTCAATGACTTGGCAAATGCTGGCTATTTTTGAATGATCAGTCCGAAAACTAGCTAAACCGTACTATTTTAACAAATATCTTTTGTACTTGCATCAAACAAACCGTTGTTAACTCAAGTTTTGTGAAGAAAAGAGTTAAAGACGATAGACCATATTAGCAATCAAGAATATTGATGAAGCCAGAGAAATGCTCCTTAACCAAAGTAGCAAGAAAAAATTGGAGGACCAAAAAAAAAATGCAAAGATTTCATCTTATATAGAAAAGTGAGGGCAGCCCGGCGCACTAAGCTCCCGCGCATATGCACGGGATCCGAGGAAGGACCATACCACAAGGGTCTATCGTACGCAGCTTTACCCTGCATTTCTTCAAGAGGTTGTTTCCACCGGCCCGTGACCTTTTGGTCACATGGGGTAATTTTACTAGTTACCCGAATAAAATAAATTTTTCAAGTACCTCGTGATCTTGAGAGGAGACAGAAAACTCTTCAATACTGCTGCTATCTGCCATCTTAGTATGTTACCACCACCAGTCTAGCCCTCCCCTGTTTTATCCACTTACCATAAACATATTTATAAGTTTATAGAATCGGGGAACGGTAGAGTTGTTGTTGTTGTTGTTGTGTGGGTGTGGGTGGGGGGGGGATAGAGTGTGCAGCCCTAATCCAAACAGAAGGCCATAAAATAAATGAAATAAAAAGGGAATCTTCCATTACCTTGAAGCAGAGGAGATAACAAGAGCAAGCAAAGGCAGAAATATGGAGAATAGGCCAAGGAAGAAGAAACGGTGGGAAAGAGGGGGAGTTTGGTGTTGGGAGAAAAGGATTGTTTGACTACAAGAGAATGAGATGAGAAATTTATAATTTTGGCCCGTCCATCATGTATTCTTTTAGGGTTCGCCTGATTCTCTAATCATATTTGAGTTTTTATTTAAAGAAAAGGCAAAATATTTATATAACTGATATTATTTTTATTAATATTTGATTAATTATTTTCTTAAAGAAAAATATTTTTGCACTTAGGGTTAGAGAATCATGTTTATTTTTTGGATAGTTTTATAGTCTCTTTTTTATAGTAGATTATTTATCTCCTCTCATATGGATGCAAGTCAAATTAAATGACGTTATAATATTCTTTTTTAGTAAATTATTATTTTATTATATGATTTATTATCGTTTTGTCAGTTTTTGCATGACCTTTAATTATTTCGATCTCAACATATTATTCATACTTATTGCTTTCACTCTTAACTTTACAAATAAATATGAATTTTTTAAACAGATGCATATAACCTAATTCAAAATCATCTATAAATATGGGTATAATTTACTTTACCTGGAAAAAAAATCAAGGAAAAGGGACAATTTTTTTTCAAAGAATATGGAAGGATTAGGAAAAAGTTTGGTGAATAAGTACGTAAAGTGGGAAGGGGGCAATAGTTGGGTGTTAACTGTTAAGACATCAATATCAGCTGGACTCTTAAGCTTAGCTCCTTCCAGTTCCACACCATACATTACGTGTGCTTAAAATAACATGCAATAAAAATCGACACTCCTCTTAAAAAAAACGAATATTGGAGAAGAGTTAAGGGAATCTTTACCCAAAAAGTCCCCGATTCACATTGACCTTTTTGTTGGTAATATTAGATTATACACTGATTATACGTAAAAGAATTAACCTAACTATTCTCCTTTATTTTTATTTATTGTTAAATTTTGTCGTCCGTTATACTTTTCATTTATATATATGTATAGGGAAAAATCGGTTCGGCGACAGACGGAAGACGAAGCAAGTGGGAACCAAGACCGAGGATAGCAACTTCGGTTGGCATCAGGCAAACCCCGAAGGGAACATTGCTAACAAGGACAAACGAATATTTGTCACCCGATGACATTCAATGAAGAATATTGCTCAGTATTAAATGCATAATCCGTTATAGAGAATTTTGGCATTCACAGCTTGCCGTTATAGATTCATCAATGGCCCCCATATTTGTCATTTAAGAGGGGCTTGATCCTAAGACCTTGTTCCGTAGGTATAATATATCTATAAATAGTGACTTCAACAACCATTGTAATACACGAAAATTTTGACAAGCTTATGCTACACATTATTTTAAGCTCAATAATACTTTATTTTCTGTCTATTAATATTTTTATTATTGTTTTCAGAAACCTTGCTTCCGGAACCAAGATGTTGTTTTATCTCAATTTCAATGCTAAATCTTGCATTTTATTTAATTTATTTATCATTTTGGGATCAAATTGATTCGTTTGTCTATAAACCATGTTATAAATTCAACTGTACCATTTTACGGATAAATAATATATTCATATCCCAGACCAAGTTGGTCGCACCCGGGATAACGTGGAACCCTTGAAGATAGGAGAAGATCCTCCTCGACTAACGATCAATATGATTTTTGGGGGGAACGAAATCAATGGAGTAACATTTCAGCAGCAAAAAAAAAAAAGACAAAGGTAAGGTGACTCAAACGAAGAGACTCCAAGAAGTCACCGAGGACGATATCACCTTCATATATGAGGATGCCGATGGACTTTTACTACACCACAACGAGGACCTAGTAATTTCTCTTAATATTTTAGATTTTAAAATTACGCGTGTTTTGGTGGATCTAGGAAGTTCAGCCATTATCATTCAATGGAGAGTGCTGGAACAAGCCAAGTTAACTGAAATCATCATTTCGGCCATGAAGCTCCTCGTCTGGTTTAACTTAGCGAGCGTGACAACCCGAGGGAAGATCCTACTGCCCACGAACGCCGAAGGTGTCACAAAAACTACACTGTTTGAAGTGGCAGATGGCGACAAGGCTACAATATAATTCTTGGCAGTCCATGGTGGAGAAATGAAATCATAAGAATCCAAAGTAAGTACGACCAACTTGGTCTGGGACTGGAGAAATGAAATCAACGACTATCTTGAGCACGACAAACTTCCCGAAGATCCGACAACATCCCGGGCACTCCACACCAAAGCAGCTCGTTATAGCTTCTAGGGAGGACAGTTATACAAAAAGACATTCTAAGGCCCGTTAGCCCGATGTTTAGGAGCCTCCGAGGCTAATTACGTCATGAGAGAAGTTCACGAAGGAATATGTGGAAATCACTCGGGTGTGAGCAGGATACTATTGACCTTGGATTGACCAAGACGCTAAGGTATTCGTTCAGAAATGCGACAAGTGTCAACACCACGTATCGTCAGTACACCAATCAGCAGAACTATTGCATTCGGTATTATCACCATGGCCATTCATGAAAATGGGGGATGGACATAGTCGGTCCGCTGCCTCTAGCTCCGGGTAAGATAAGATTTCTTTGATTATAATTAATTACTTCTCTAAGTGGGTTGAAGCAGGTCCTTACTAGAAAATCAGAAAGCGCGAATTGGTCGATTTTCTGTGAGAGAACATAATTTGCAGGTTCGGAATACCAAAGAACATAGCCAGCGAGAACGGGCCACAGTTCATAGGTGCAAGGTCACAAAATTCCTTGAGGATTTGAAAATCAAAAGGATCACATCTTCACCATACCATCCGAGCGTAAATGGCCAAGCAGAGTCGACAAACAAGGTAATTATTTAAAACCTCAAAAAGGGATTAGAAGCAGCCAAAGGCAAATAGCCCGAAAAGTTACCAGGAGTGCTATGGGCATACCGGACAACGACCAAGTCAATCACGGGGGAGACATCTTTTTCTCTCGTATATGGAGCAGAAGCCCTGGTCCCGGTGGAAATGGGAGAACCTACCATGAGATACTTCCGGGTGGACGAAGAAACAAATAGCAAAGCATTGCTAGTCAAATTGGAGCTGCTTGACAAACGCAGGGACTTGGCTCATATATGGATGGTGGCCCAGAAATAAAGAATGGAAATATACTATAATCGAAGATCCAATCTTCGTTGTTTCAAAGTGGGGGACTTGATTTTAAGAAAAGTGATTCAAAACACCCAAGAGCTCAACGCAGGAAAGCTGGGTCCGACGTGGGAAGGTCCCTACCGAATTTCAGTTGTCACCGGGAAAGGATCATATGAACTGGAAAACCAAGATAGAGTAAAATTGCCGAGCAACTAGAAGGGCTCACCTGTGCCAAACAAATCTGGTATTTGTGGCACATCTCCAAAATTACAGGGTTAATTCTCCTTCTCAAAGTAAATGGGTACGTATAAACGTACATGAAGCCCTTCTTAGGGAAGGTTACTCGCTCCACCAGTTCGGGAGTGATGATGTTCAGATCATGAAAATCACAATCCTCCTTCACTGCAAGAATGCTGCAAGAATGGATGGAAGAAGGGTCTATCCCAACAACCCATGTACGAGAACTCATAAAAGAAAACTTCTCTTCGAAGTCCTTGGCTGTGTTGAGACTTGGGATGATGGTGCTCACCGTATGAGGGCCAACATCAACGGTTTTTTTTTTTTTTGTTTTTAAGAGAACTTGAGTTCTTGGAAGAAGAAGCCATAAGCAACAGAAAATAACAAGAGTTCTTTGAAGAAGATTAAAGAAGAGGGAAAACAAGAAAGAGTTGAATGCAAAGAAGTTGAGAGAGTTTGTACAATTGTGAAGTGTAAAAGAAGAAGAATGAGGCGTATAAGTAAAGAAATAGGCGGCTAAAATCGTGGCCATGATTACCTCGAGAAATGGCGAAAATATAGCTAAATCATGGAGTGACGCATGTTCGGGATATTAAATGCGGAGAGACGTGCGTCTAATCAAGTATCAGAAATATTTGTCACCCAATGATATCAATGAAGAATATTCCTAAGTATTGAATGCATAGTCCGTTACAGAGAATTTTGGCATTTATAGCTTGCTGTTATATATTCATCAATGACTCCCCATAATTGTCATTTAATAGGGCTTGATCCTAGGACCTTGTTCCTTAGGTATAACTATAAATAGTGACTTCAACAACCCTGTAAGATACGAAAATTCGGACAAACTTATGCTACACATTATTTTAAGCTCAATAATACTTTATTTTTTTGTCTATCAATAATTTTATTGCTGTTTTCGAAAGCCTTGCTCCTGGAACCAAGTTGTTTGCTGTTTTATCTCAATTTCAACGCTAAATCTTGCATGTCATTTAATTTATTTATTATTTTGAGATCAAATTGATTTGTTTGTCTATAAACCACGTTATAAGTTCAATTGTACCATTTTACGGGTAAACAATATACTCATGTCATCCAACAAAATTTTATATCTACCCTTATTTTAACAGATACGACACGTGGCATCATCTGATTAAAAGAACCAACCAAAAATAAAAAAAAAAACCGAAACCCGAATAAAACCCATGACCTGCCGATCCATTTCCCCTTCTTTAATTTTCAGTTGGAAGAGTGAAGTCCTTAGCAGTTTATCTTCTTATTCTATTCGGACTACATCATAAAGCCACCAAAGAAATCTTCACTGATGGTGAGACTGGTTGTGTTAATCTTTGCAATGGTATGTGAAGTTTACATATGTTCAATCGGCCTGAAACAAATTGGTATTCTTTCGAGTGCACAGTTATTAAGTGTTCATGTGGTTGAAAACCGATGTGAGGCAACCGACCATGAATCTTCAGAAAAACCTTATGCGTACTTCCACATGCCAAAAACTGTTAGCGACGAGAAATTTATTACTATTCTGTTTTTATGTTTTGGTTTTCTCTTAGCGCACTTCCAATGAAGGAAATGATTGAAATTGAAAACTAAAGAGGGAAAATAGGACAGCGGGTAATGGGTTTTATTCGGGTTTGGGGTTTTTTGTTTTGGGTTGGTTCTTTTAATCAAACAATGCTACATGTCATATCCGTTAAAATAGGAGTAGATATAAAACTTTGATGGACGTCACGGATATACATGAAAGAAAAATATAA